TTTGTATGTTACGTATGTATATGCTTATACTATGTATGCTTATATATGTGATACTTAGTATATATGTATGTTATAACATGTGTCTATATATATCGTATATATGTGCTTATATATATAATGTATAGTATATTATGTAAATATATGTCATGTTATATATGTATATATATTCGTATGTACTATATGATATTTATTATGTATATATGTATATATATGTATGATGTTATCTGGTAATACTGTATTTATGAATGTATATGTTTATTATATGAATGTATGCTTATGTCATTACTATGTATATATATGTATGTTTGTATGATATGTTATAGTATACTGATAATGTATATATACATGTATGTACTATATACACTGTTGTTATACTTAATGTATTATATATATGGTATATGTATTATATATGTTATATGTTACGTATATATATGCTATATATTATGCCATATGTATATATTATATGTATATATATGTTATAGTGTAGTTAGTTAATATTATGTATATGTATATATTAGATGATATATATATAGCATGTATATATAATAGAATGTATATATATATATGTATATATATATATGATATCATATATTTGTGTAATAGTATATATCGCTATATGTATATATATATGTGTGTGTATATATGTATCGTTTATATTGTGTCATATATTGTATATATATGTATATATATTGATATATATACATATGTGATATATATAATTGTGTATCTTTTATATGATTATATATATGTGATATATATGTATAGTATATATGTGTGTATATATTATGTAATCATATTATGTATATGTATATATATATGTTGTGTTTATATGTATATATAATGTATTATGTATATATATATAGTATATGCTTATATATATATGTATATGTATATATCTATATTACTGTTATAATGCTATATTGTTACTATATATGGTATATATATATGTATATGCTTTATAGTATACTATGATATATGTATATAGTATATCGTATATGTATATATATAAGCTATATATATTGTATATGTAGTATATATGTATATGACTATATATATGTATATGATATAATATAATGCTTATATTAATATATTATATGTAACTATGTATATATGTATATGTAATTACTATTGATATGTATTATGTAGTATATATATATGTTTACTATGTTATCCCTGATACTAGCTGCTATATGGTCATATAATATTTAATGTATTATGTATATCTATAGTATGTATGGTTATATATATTCATATGTATATATATTGTATATATATATATGTATATATAATGTTGTGGTATATATATATGTATATATGTCTTATATATACTTGCCTGATATATGTGTATATATATGTATATATATGTACTACTATATTGGGGTATATATATGTGTATATATGTGTGTATAGTATATGGTATATATATGTATATATGAGTATATATATGCTACTATATGTTATATACTACACATATATGTATGATATATATATATGTATACACATATTATTGTATGCTATACTAATTATATGTATATATACAATAACTATATGCTTATAGTATAATATATTATAATTGTTAGTGTATTATACTATGTATATATGCATATATATATATGTATACTATATATACATATAATATAATGTATGGTATATATAATATGTATATATGTATATTGGCATAGTATACTATATGTATAATATATTATTCATATATATAGTAGGTATTATATGTATATATACATTATATATGTTATATATACACTTGAATATATATGTATATATACATAGTACTATATGTATATATACATATATAGTGTAGTATATAGTGTATATAACATCATATAGGATCATATTACTATGTATATATATATAATATTATCATATATATGATATATATGATTATACTATAGTCATTTCTACTGATATACTATGATTTATTATACTACATATATGATATATAGGATATATGATATATATGGTATATCGTATATATTATATTTATATTCATTTATATATATATATATTATAATATATTGTATATATATATATTTTATATATTATTTATATAGATATATTCACTGCTATGTGTATATATCACTATATTTACCGTATAATATATGTGGTGTCGTACTAATCATTCTTACTGTATTATGTATAGGATATACTATATATATTTATATATATGTATATATATGCTATATATATATATTTATATATGTAATATATCAATTATATATATTTATATACTTATATATATGTATACTTATTATTATATTATCATTATTAAGTATATATATATATGTGATATATATACTATATTTATATATATATATGTGTGTGTGTTATATATTTATTGTATAGTATATATGTATATATATGTAGTATTCCATTATATATATTATTATATATATGTATATATGATATACTATATATTACTATATATGTATATATATACTATATATATATTATATATATGTTATACTATTTTATATGTATGATTTATATATGTCTATATATATATTATATATTATATTATATAATACATTGTAATATAGTAATATATATATATATATATATAGTTATTATATATTATATATATATATATATATTATATATATATATATATAT